ACTCTGACAAAAAATTAAATCTACATGCAAAATCACAGGTACACAACTTCACAAGCTGGGCAACATTCCTTTAAAGTTTCATGACTCTAGATTAAATACTGTTTGACTAATATGTGTGACACAATTTGAAAATTGCAAATTTTTACTAATTCATGAGCACTAACTCTGACAAAGCAGAATAAATCCACAAGCAAATCCTAGGTGCACAGCTTCACATGATTAGCAACTTTCTTGTCAAATTTTATTACTTTTGGTCGAGCTATTTGCGACACAAGTTGAAATTGCAAATTTGTACTTAGTCAATGGCAAGAGGCAAACCCAAGGTATACAATTTCACATGCTGTGCAACATTCCTGCCAAGTGTCATGACCCTAGGTCATATACTTTTTGAATTTCGTGTAAAACAATTTGAAAATTGAAAAAATTTACTAAGGGAAGGGCAATAACAAATACTTAATAAATCCACACGCAAATACCCAGGTGCACAACTACACATGCTTGCTGAAAACAATTTTAATCAAACAATGTGACTAGTAAACTTATATAAATCTGACTTTATCTCAAATTTAAACTAGGCTATTAAAACACATCAACATCAGTATACTTCTTTCTTTTCATGTGTTGCACCACGGCTTTGTTGTTCTTACCGACTTCGGACATGTAACGCCAGACTGCATGTTGCTTTATTTATGTCTTTACCCTCGCGAAACCCTAAGCGTTCCCATACCTTTTATATAAGTTTTGTCGGGGGATGTTTAGTTTATTTTACCTTCATTGACGTTTGAAGCCATTTTGATTGGCTTTGAGAAAATAAAACATTACGCGATCACTAATTAATAGTCGTATTTCACGTAATAAAGCAGTATACCAGTTAGAAAGGGACCAAGACTCTCATTTTTTCGTGTTTATTTTTGGTGGTGAATCGAATCGAAATTCTTATATTTGATATTAGAATCGTATCGGCGCCCACTAAACCTGTTTTCGATGCATCGGATCGTATTGTTGCACCTCGACCTCAAACACTAGGTATAAATTCTTCATGACGAAAGATTTATAAAATTAAAATTGGAACAATTGGTCAATATCCTAATACTCTTTTAAAATGAAAAATTGAATGAACAAATAGAATTTTAAATCAATTCAATATATGAATTACCATATAAACTCAAAAAGGATTCAAAAAAATTAATATGGTTCCAGTTTAGACTTAACCACAGAATAAGTGCCACAAATTATTGATGACAAAAATGATTGTAAATAACGATGTATGAACATTTTGTGATAACGATGTATGAACATTTTGTGAAATTGAGATAGAGACTCTTATTCATTTTTTTTCTATGAATGTGAAATTGCCAAAATCTTTTGGACAATATTACAACATAATGATACATATGAGTTGTTTCAGACATCAGGGCAGAAAAACAAAACCTAGCAATTTCTGAATGGTTTTGTTTTTGTATTTTAAAGATGGTAAGTTTTTGCATCAGGCCCCATAAAATATGATTTTTTACTTTAAAATTGAGAAAATATTTTTTGTTATTTATTATTATCCTACGAGATATGTTCAATTTATTATGAAATACAAATCAAAAACACTTTTATGATCTAATAGCACACAAAAACTCATGCAAAGCGAATAATTCATTTAGTGTATAAAACATAATTAAACACTCATCTACATTGAAAATTCAATATGGTAGGACTTCTGAAGCAGAAAATGTCCTACAGAAGCATTGTGAAACAAGTAAAACAGATGGGAAATAATGTTTCTGCTGATACTGTGCATCACACTCAAAATAGTAAAGGCGCTTTTCGAAATTGCATTCGCAAAACAGGTATACCAAACGTCGAACAGCAGCTACTGCTGACGTCGTACATAAAACGCGTAATATGATAACGATGGTGAATACTCCAACACAAAGAAAAACGACAGCTAAGTGTTAGGACTCTCTAGACACTGTCATCAGAGAAAGAGCAAAGATTCTGAAAGCAAAACTCAGGAAAAAGTGCCGAGTTCATAGGTTTAGTGAGTCCCAGATTTTGGACAGATGTGCTGTATCATGGCGTCTATATCTTTGATTTAACTGTGGAAAATGGAAAAAAAAAGTTGTCATCAAAGATGAGGCTATGTTTCATATTGGCGGTACCTACGGTCGACGCGTGTATGCGGCGTGCGTACTAATGAGACAGATTTGAACAATGGAAGTTTGTAAAACGAGATGCATTTGCACGCTTTTGCCGGGGTTAGATACTACTGCAAGACATCTCTAATTTTCATCAATAAAGGGAAAAAAGTCAATGCAAAATATTACGTTTTAAAGTCATTTCTCAAAAAAGATCTTCCGCGACTTTTTCCTAGAATAGAAATTGTTATGGTATTCCATCAAGACTCCACCTGTAGTCATACCGCTAAAATAGCCATAAACTTTCTCAACAAACGCAAAGTTAATTATATTACACCTGCAGAATGGATGCCAAAATGCTCCCATGGTATCTGGATAAACTGAAAGGTAGGCTATGGAAACGAAAGATTTATACCGTGTCTGTCTTTAAAGGCCCTCAAGCTTGAGCAGTCAGGCATACACCGGACTTAGAAAGCTGGCCAAAAAGGAGTAATATAATTTATTATTGTATTGCCATGGAACCCAGATTGAGAGTCTGTTGCAATAAAACACATGCGTGTAAATAATCAGGCAGGTTTTAAAACTGTTTAATAATAAATTGAACAACTCTCGTACAACTTTGCACCTCACTGCTCGGGGAGAAACTACCAAAATCCAGGAGACATTCCAAGAAAGTTCCTTTGAAAATAATTGAAATTTTCAGACTTAAAATCTGAGATAAAAATGTTATCTATTAGATTTCACCGAAACTTTTTTAAATTCAACATCATTGTTTTTCTTTGAAAGGCATAATTATCCCATAGGTACAATATTCAAATATGGTATTTTATTCTAAGCTTATATTACCATATTATTATAAGCTTTAGAGCATTAATGGATGCAAAACTCTTAGTATAAACAAGAAAATTGTCATATTCAACAACTTATATAGAGCGAAAATAATATGTTGATGTTCAAATTGCAAGTTCCTTCCTCTTTCTTTTATTTGTTTCTGTTTTCCCTTTTTCTCAAAATAACTACATGTATAATGAAAATACACAATTGATATTGAGTATACTCCAAATATAATCAGATAAAAGGTGATATTGACTTTAGTTGTGTATAATTGATATAATTAATATAGCTTCATTTGAAACGATTGTATTTGTACTGACTATATACTTCGTTTCATAATAACAATCAAACCACACGCAAGACAAACATAACATGTCATTTATAGACAAGAGTTCCTTAACAAGAAGATTCTCTATTCTGTATAAGCATTTTAGTGTTATTTAAGGGTCACCTCATTATGGTTTGGGAAGGTCTTTGACAGAGTTTTGGCAGTTTTTACTGATTGCAAGTACATACTGCTGAACAAAAAAGTACTTATTACATGTTTGTACTATGTGATTACTCGTTGATAATATCTTTTTCTAGTTGTATTCCTCGGTCGAGGCGAAATTTCTCCGTGACAATTGGCCTGGAACATTGAATCTAAGTGTCCTTTGTCCCTCATCTCTAATTTTCAAAAAAAAAACATGTTAAATTAGTAGTCTGGTACTTGCAGAGAAGTTTGAAAAAACTGGTAAGTTGGTAAGGAAGATAGCTTGCCGAGATATTAACAAAAGTGTTCAAAACTGAATCTGTGTAAAAGCAGAAAAAAAATCAAAAACAAAACATGATTATATTGAGGTCAGAAATTGGTGGATGGTGGTTAGAAACTGTTAAGTCTGTTGGCAAAAACTTTTCTTGCATATCAGACTGGCGTTTCCGTTAGTTTTACCCATGCCGGAAATTTCATCTGGCATGGGGGGTTCCAGATGAGTCGCGTGCTGTACAATGGCACGATAAAGATGACGTCATTTTACCGTTATGAATGATTTTGTAATTCATACGCGTAACGCTGTTGAATGAAAGTAGTTACGGTTGTAATGATATAAATTTTCATTGAAAATAAAGATAACGAATTTAAAATATAATGGAATATGGTAGAATATGCAAGAAAAAATATCTGACATATGTTTGCGGTTCGGATCGGAATATCCGTCCCTCGGTCACGCGCCCATGGGCGGTAACTCGGTAAGCCTCGTTACCGCCCAATGGGCGGGTCACCTCGGGACGGATATTCCGATCCGAACCGCAAAATATGACAGATATTATTAATCTATGAATAATCGGATTGTAACAAAACCGACGTCGGAGAATGACCTCTAAAACTTTCATATTCGACCATTTTCCTGATGTAGACCGGACGTTGAGTGTTTGCTAGGGAAGTTCTACTCTGTTTACAGACTTCATTTATTGTAGCAATTGCAAACATCTAAATAAGAAATAGTTTCAAAAATGTTTGTGATTTAAATGAAACCGGTTCATGCACAACAAACGCGCCCTAAAACGAGAAAAAAGTAGTAACATCAGTTGTGTTGTTATTACAGCCCGTTTACAGCAGACCTAAGGCTCACCATGCTCGGCTATATGTTAACTAGCCTAGTTCTACCCACATATTGCGAAAGCTAGTCAAGATCGAGACTTTACGTTGCCTATATTACAGTCTTTAAACGGGCTGATGTTACTTACGATAATGTCTTAGCTGCATGGATTTATATATACAATACTTAAAACAATATCAAAACAGGAAAAGATTATAATATGAATATGTTATTTTGACAATATACATCGGTTTCACGAATAAGTGGAGATGTCATCTGAGATAACGAATACATTTTACAATTGTAAGTTATATACATTATCATAAATACTCATTTTGCTGTAATATTTGGAACTCATTATTTTCAAAATCATGCTTAAAATTATAGTGCAGAAGTTGAAACCAACTATTTTTATTGCGTCATTCAAACACATGCGCAGATAAGCCCGATATATCGCGTGATTTGCCAATCTCCTACGCCGTGATCTCCCCTAGCGTAACCGGTGCGCGGAGTTGGGTGATTTGCAGGTAAAATGTCATCAATACTTTAAACGGATATGACCGATAATGTAAATTAACTGCTTAAAAGGTAAATGATATTTTATTGTTTATTGCTCGCTGTTTTAATGTTGGGTACAATGATGATGATATATTAAAAACTTAATTTTTTCATTTACTTTCGATTTCAAACTGAGTTATAAGACCATGTCTCGCATAAACACCCATTTTGACAACTCGTTTATATTTATCATATTGTTTTTTATCTGCAAATAAACTACATATGCCTTCTTAAAGCATATAAAAAGTCGTTTCAATATATTGATACATTGCCTTAAATGTTTGTATATTTGATGTTTTCAAGACATAATTGGTGAGGATCTGTAGGAACAGTATACTATTATTGTATTTAGTATATAGTATAGTATTTTCTACAAACAAAAGTGAAATAAATATTTTCAATATTTTATATTATATTCATGCACTCAAAAATCACATTGTTATCTTACCTCACCTTGTTAAGAAAAGCTTAAACTATACATATATGTACTTAAACCCAAGTGAACTTAAAGTTTATTTATATAGGTCAACACATTTACTGTCTGTAGTTAGCTTAAATTTTAAAGAAATTGATATTCTTTTATTTTAAACATAACTGAATGAAAGATTGCTTAAACATTTCATTTCGAGAAGCACAGACTGAACGCTAAACGGCTAAAAAAACTCTTTAACTACACATTTGTTTTGTGTTCCAGATAACAGAATGGATTTATAAAAGGTAAGAGCACAATTGACCATGTACAAATATCAACAAATATTCTAGGAACAAGAACACGTTGTTTTTTAAGTTCATTTACAACATTTATAGAATTTAGAAAACATATGTTTTATCCCAGGAAAAAAAATTATATCATTTTGTATATACACCATTTTTTGATATGATCATTTTATATACTACAGAATTTTTTTATAAATGGAAGGAGTTAAATAATACCCCTGTATGACACAGGATCTCTTTGGTCAGATGTTGATGATTTTGATGTATTAATTCCTTTGGACCAGGCAACTGGTATCCTTTCTGATTTATAACAGTTATAAAAACATTTACAAAGCTAACTCATATTTTAAAAGCTCTGCAGGTAAATTGTCAAGACCTGGTTATTTTCCCAATTTAGCATGTAAAATTGCTTGATAAGTTTTCTCAACTGATATAATTTCTTCACCAACACCCAACCCATTGAGATTTGAATCGGTCAATTGCATTTTATCGGAAGTGTCATTTTCATCATTTGTGTTCAAAAGACCATGAAAGTCATGTGCCCATTTATCTAATACTTAATTAGCATTTTTTTGTTAATGGAATCATCAGGCCTGACTACTTCAAAAAGTATCGCGTCCATTCTTTCATTTCCAATTCCTATCTTTCCATGTCTGTCCAAAAATCATTCGGGTTCTTATCAATAAGATCATCAAAATTATAACGGGCCTGAAAAACATAGCTTGTCTTAGTCTTTTTATATAAAGCTATATATCTGCTGTAAAAAAAACTTTCGTTTGAAATTTTAAAAAGAATGCTCCAATAATACTTGTATAAAACGAATATGGTAGTAAATTACTTGAAAAATTAATAGTGCATGCACGAAATCATTGCTAAACGGTTAAACACCTACTTTATACAGCTGACAATTTTTTTTACCGGAACTATATATTATGTTTACGTTCACTATTCATGCATGTTAAATAATAGAGACATGTTATCGAACAACTCTTTCGAGAATAAACCATAAGATTACGGAATTTTACTGTAGATATATTTCTTAAAACAGTTCATAAAATATAGCTTTATACATAATCGTTTAAAGTTGTTAACCTACTCTTTTAATTTAAAAATAAAACACATTTGAGATTGCGAAAATCAATATTTAACTAGACTTAATACTACGTGACACGAGTCGATACAATCAGTGTTTAACAAGCAGTTTAAATGTAAACGCATTACGTTTGATAGTATTCTAAATATATTACAGGTACATGTAAAACAAATATCTTAGATACTTTTGAAAAATCTTTACTTATACTTGTTTGTTACTCTACTGAAAGCTTTTTATAACAAAGGCTATTTATCATATTTTTTTCAGATACTTTATTGGTCAAACGTTCTTTTCACCAAAATGGCAACAAATCTATATGCCACAAAAAAGCGTGTTTATTGCTTTCGGTTACAGAATCTGGTAATTGAAGGCGGAGCTTATGTCATCCGTGAGGTATTGGATCACTTGACAGGTGTACCTTTAACGGTTCATCTACAAAACAATGGTACAAATATAACACACCCTAAAATCAGAAGTCAGCCTGGACAGACAAAATCTCTAACACAAACGCAGTATGCTAAACTATTTGTTTCACCTGGAACTCCATCACCATCGGTTACATCAGCGGATTTAGATATAACTCTTCTGGTATACCTACTACAAAAAACATGTCGTAAGTGTGGCCTCAAAAAAGAGACGGATCAGATCTGGTTTACAAATCCAACACCTAATGACCAGAAAATCGAACACGATATCGTAAGAATGCGACATTTTCGAAACGAGGTAATGCATTAGAAATCAAAATTTATCTTTTTGTTAGTATTTATACACAAAGTAAAAAGAACAATATAAATATCAGACCTATGTTTTACATGAAATCAATAATTACAGATAACGAAATCATATTGTTAAGAATATTCGGTAAGTGTTTCAATTTAAATGAGATTTTTTTAAAATCCTTTTTTGAAAGAAAAATATATCAATACTATACATTTTGTACCATATATGTAGACAATAAGTTGAAAGAACATGTATCTTTTTAAGTAAGTGAAAAACTTAGGAACTTGCACGCACAAACACACAGGCGCCCGCCACTACAAAATTACATGTTTAGATTCATTTTCTTTCTCTTCAAATATTTATATTATTTTTTCAGCTTTCACACAGAGAATCCAATTTGATTTCACTTCAGGAGTTTCAGTTGAAATGGCAGGAAATAGAGACGGTATAATTTTTATAGACTTAAGATCTTATCATTACATATTTAGCGTTAAAAATAACAACGAAATGATTATGAAGATACACGCAAATTATTCATGCTTTTATATTTTAAATGCAATTTCATGTTCATAGTAAATCGGAATACGTTATTGCCTATGTATGTTATAGGTATGCTATTTGACGGTCTTGAAATTGAATTTTACCCACGAATTGTTAATAAAACCTTGTACATGTAATGACGTGAGGTAAAAATAAAACTTTGTGACATATACGCAATACGAACGCACATAAATCAAAATATTTCTCGAGTAAGTATTGATTTATTTGACATTTTCATGAATTTGTAGTCATTTAGCCATTACCTAAGAACAAACAAAAAGTCATTTCGCTCATACTGGAAAAATTATATTATACATTTGATAAGTTAATTGTTCCACATGGCTTATGATGATATACAATATAATATATATATATATATATATATATATATATATATATATATATATATATATATATATATATATATATATATATATATATATATATATATATATATATATATATATATATGTGGCAAGGCAGTGTGGTGCAAAAATAAATATGCAAACAAGATTTAAACAACAAAAGAGAAAGCATGTTGAAATATATTGTTATCAACAATACATTTCTAATAATATTTAAGGTTTACATATGTATGCGGTGTAGTCTCTAAACTACTCTTGCTCTTCATTGTCAGAAAATAACAATGTTTATAAAACTCAGCAAAAAAAGAAACTTTACATTGTGAAAACCTGAATTTCAGTGCGTACTCATCATGCGTGATAAGCAGGTCTACCTATTTTTTTTGACCTGTGGATACACTAAACAAACCCAATAATCTCGTGCAGTTGTATAATGCACGGGCGACTTAAACACTGATTTCCGTTTGTGTTTTTCTTTATAAAAAAAGAACGCCTCAAATAATCTCATATTATATTGAGTAAAAATTCTAACATTTTTAATTTGTTGTTCTGGCCCGCTGTTTCCACGGATATGAATCCTATTGAACATATCTATGATGATCTTGGGTGAAGAGCGAGGACAAATCACCAGAAAGACAACGTTAACAACTTCGCACGGGCACAACAGGTGGAATGGCGTGCGCTGCCTTAATCGACGCGTCTTAATCAGGCGTTACGTTCACTCTATGGGGAGAAAAATCGAGCGTATATTGCCAGTTCCGGGGTTACAACCGTATCTTAGTTTTTCTGATAAACAATTTTGGTTTTAATTCAAAGATTCAGAATCTGGAAAGTCTCGTTGACTATAGTCTTTTATTTCTGTTTTTTTTTATTTGGACCCCTAGGTCAGAATTTGTAAGTAAATAAATTGTTTCTATTGGTTAGATCGACAACATTTTGAATAAATCGTAGCAAAATGTCAAAGGAATAAAATGGTATCAGTTTTATCCGGTTATATCAATAAGAAATTGAAATACGCCCATTTTAACCTTTTCCCTTATATAAGCGTGTTTCGACGGCTTTTTGCCCCCCCCCCTTTTTGAGGCCCCAAACAGTGAAAAAATGTCCTATTTAGACCCCAAACACTGTTTTTCGTTTGAGAAATGTTGTTAAAAAAAGTGACCATTTTTTCGGCGCCGTCCCCCATCCAAATAATACATCAGGGGGTTGCCAGAAGGGGGATGTGCCCCCTTCTGTTTGGGGGGTTTGAAGGGGGGCGGAGTCCCCCTCATCGCCAAGAAAATTTTGGACTTGTGAGAGGCTTAAAATGACCCCAGGTCGATCATAAGGTAACGTGTAACCAACGCTGAAAAGCCTTTGACTCTATCTCAATCCCTTGAGAAGTTGCAGCACTTTGAAATAAATTTTGATGGATAAAATCGAGGCAAAAAAGTGATTTTTGGCAATTTTGAGATGTCCCCTCGTTGCCATGGTAACAGGAAATTTAAGACTGAGCATGTCGTTACAAAGGCAATGGTCCAGTCAACATTTGTGCCAAGTTTGATTAGTATTGAAGCATTTTTCATAGTTTCATAGCAGTTTGAACTTGTAAGAGGAGGCTTTTCAGTGAAAATGGCCATTTTTCACAATATGCTCATGGGGGAAAGGGTTAAGTCCATGTAAAGTTTTTTATTTTGCTGAGTGTAGATATGTTTAATGATTCATACGTAAAAGGGATATCCTGATGTTGTCAGCGAAACACAAGACGATCATGTTTCGCTTTGATAATTTAAATAATTACTTGCAAACAATAAATATCCGGATATAAAAAATTAGGAAAACAGTGAAATATGACATCGATGTAACATTTAACAGTCGCAACACTGCACTGTCAATATTTTTTAACATTTGTCTTTAACAATAGGTTCTCTTAAGATTGTATAGAACGTGCTCATCGAACACACAAAACCTTCAAGTAAAGTTTGATGAGTTTAAAAGTGCGACTGTTGACGAAGAAGCAGATGAGCGCAATGAACAGATACTTGAAGAGTGGGCAGAGATGGACAAATGTGTTCAAAGTACATTAATGATACTTCAGAAGGACCTGCGTGGAATAAATAGTAATTATTATTTTTGTTCTTAACGTATATCACTTTTTGCAGAACAACTTAGACATGCTTTATTGATGTTAACCTGTATATTATTTGTTTTATAACTGATTCTATGTAAATATCTCGTAAGAATAGCATTAGCGGTTATTGAAACATAAATTGTAATTTGTCAACGATTTCAGACCTGTTTGCATTGGAATACCTGGCCTGCCTTACTCTAATTCTAAAGCAAGATACTTTATTTACGTACAATTGAAATATCCTATTTACATAAATAATCATGTTTATTTCTTACTTTTATACCTTTCTAAACTGATAATTGTGTTGATATTTTTACAATGCTCCATCAGTTTTTCTAATATTGGGACTTAAATGCCATTCCATAAAAAGCGGCTTGGTCCCCAAGTAAAAAAGGCTATTGAAATGCAACATTATCAGGGTCTAATTAAATTATGAAGATCAATGTTAATAGCCGAAAAAAACAAAACATTTCTTGACTACCTTGTATCGGTCATATTGGTTATTTCCAACCAATTCTTAGATAATGACATATGAATGTATATAGAGAGAAAAATGCACACATTTCCAAAGGCATAAGTACCTTTTATAATCATTAGTATAGTAGAAATGAGAATTACAAACAGAAGCATTTACATTTGCATACATAATAACCACAGTATGTTAAACTTATAACCTTGAACATTTTTTGATTCATGAAGAACTTGCCATAATTTACTGCGATTTACAGAATGAAATCTTAAAATCAATAAAACCTGACTATACCTTCTAAAACTATTTTTTGAAACACAAATGCATTGTCAATGGTATAATAACTGGTAACAAAACCAGGTTGGAACTCGTTTATGTTGTAAACAACTATATATATAATGAATGATTCCGTACTAAAATACAAGATAGATTGTTGAAATATAGATAATGTCAAGGAAAGACCATTACCTCAGTGTCATCAAGAACGAGTAGGAATGTGTCAACGAAACTAACAAGGAGAATTAAACAAATGAATACAATGGCTAGTTCAGTTAGAAGCACTTTTATATTCATTGTAAATCTTTGTTTAATGTATTGTTCAAATTGTCATTCTGTCTGTTGGTATTTTAGATGATGTTCAAGAATTGAAAAATAAAGACCCCCCAAGATTAGCGACTCTTAAAGGTAAATATATTTATTTTCAACAGACACAATACTGATATATTTTCTACTTTTTCAATGTTATAAGGTGGCACTTGAGTGAAGGTCACTGACACTTAAAATATATACATATTTTCTTTATTGACTTAAATCTTCATGTCTTATGTGGTTCACTAACTTTGGACGGAGTGAGGAGACACTTAGACCATGAAATAGAGTTTTATTCTTTTGCTTATACAGCCTTTATTCACTGAGTGATGTCTTTAATGATTTGGTTGCTAAACATGTAGGGTGTTCATTTAAATTTAGATGGAAAAAGTGGTTATTAGGGTCATGGTCAATATTGCAGGAAAGATTTACAAGTTTACTTACGCAACCTTTATGTAGTGACTGATATTTTTCATATTTGGTTGGCAGAAACATAATGATGTCCTCTAACATTTGTTTATTAGTTTAGGTAAAAGTCTCTGATGATTCAAATAGATTTTTTTTCACTTTTGCACTTGCACTTCATGCCTTTATTTATTGACCGATGTGCAGTAAAGTTTATTGAAGTTTGTGCAGGCTAGATAATGCTAACTTATAAAATGAGTAAGATTTCTGGAAAAATGATCCCTCGGAAGCATTTATCACAACAAGATCATATGAAAATTGCAGACTCGGATTGATTGGGTCTGTACATGAGGGATAATGAAAGCAACTCTCTCACGCACCGACTTGAGCGGTACTCAATTATCAACATTTAAAAGTGCTAAAATCAATGATCCCGAAGTACCAGAAAAATAAAACAACAATGAAGTGTCGTACAGGGCAACTTTTTACGTCTGCCACACGGTACTTGACACTTGCTGTTGTGAGGTATATATATCTGGAAAACAGTGAACCTTGGAAGCATTAATCACAACAAAATATGATGAACCATGCAAACTTGGTTTTATTAATTCTGTTCATGGGGGATAATGAAAAAGTGAAAATTCCCTTACGCCCGCTAGCACCGGTTTGAGCAGTACTAAATTTCAACACAAAAAGTGCTTGAATTAATGATCCCAACGGAGGAAAAAAAATAAAACAACACTGAAGTGATGTAATGGGCGACCTTTTACGGCTACCACACAGCACTTGACATCTACTGTTGTGATGCATAAATATCGGAAAAAGTGATACCTCGGAAGAATTAATCACAACAAATTACATGAAAACTGCAGACTCGCTTTGACTGAGTCTGTGCATAGTCATAGTTTTGCTTTCTACATTATGCTATCTATTGGGGAGTTTTTTTTATTAATAACTTCACTTATATATTGTAGATATTTCCGAGCGATACTTCAGAAGAATGAGTAAAACGAAAGACGTGTTTGTAAGAACAGCTACGTACAACAAAGCTGCAGAGAAATTAAATAAATCTGGAATCGTTATTTTAAGCGGGTATGCTGGAGAAGGAAAGACTACCCTTGCATCGCAACTATTGCTTGAATCATGCCCGCTAGATAAAATCCTTAAACTTTCAGTTCCCAGTGATATGATCGAATTCAGTACCAAAGATTGGAATGGAATTTTAATTGACGATTTCCTTGGAACTACTGTATTAGAACAGGATAACGCCAGACACTGGAACGATTATTTACGAGACCTGCTACATGATGCACACACAATGCGGTTATCAGTTGTCATGGCAACACGCCAGAATATTTTAAGCGAAGCAAATGATCGCCTCAATTTGGATCTTTTCAAAGAGGAAAACATTATTTATGTATCATCGTCAGACCTTACAAAGGAAGAGAAAATGAAAATCTTAAATAATCACCTGAAGGACAGTAGACCACTAACGACGGTACCTTTGAATGCCTGTATTTTGAACTGGAAAGATACTGAGTACAAAGTTGGATTCCCAGAATGTGCAGTTATGTTTGCTTCAAATGATACACTGTTTGAAAAAGGGCCATCCTTTTTTGCATCACCTTTCGAATTCTTTCAAAAATTTATGACAGAACTTTCGAAAAATGAAGACGAGTTTATGATACTCGTGTTGTTATGGACAAAACAATCGAAAAGACTATCTAAATTTGACTTAGAACATGGAAACCTTGACTCACTAACAGAAATAGCAAATGCCCTATGCTATGATTTGAAAAAGAAATCAAAGACTTTGAGAAAGGCCCTTCAGCATCACAAAGATGGGATACTTTGTGAAACTGACAAAAATGATGAATACTCATTCAGTCATAATATTATTGGAGAAGTTGTCGGTCTTGTTTTGAGTAAAGATAATCCAGACCTGGCGATACAATACGGAACAAAAAGCTTTATTTTGAAATATGTCACGACAAATTATAGCGTCAATGAATGTGTAATTGTGGATGAGAGAAGATTTTCCATTCTTGGCAAAAGGCTAAATGAACTACTTTTCGAGGGTGGCGACGTATTTCTGCGTGACGCGCATAACGCATATAGAACATTTAGAACGGGAGTTGAGAATATGTGCGCAGTAAAAGGGTTTCCAGATATATCGATTTTAGATCACGAAGTTTTCAGCAATGAGAAGTTTATTAAGAAGTATGTTAGCCTTTCAAATGGAATTGACATAATATCCGCTCCTGTTTTAGAAGTTTTTGAACATTTTCGAAATCCTTACAACATAGTTTTTGGTAATGGTGAAATGGGGATATGTATACCTGGAGTTCTTCTTGCTGTGGCCAATACAAGGATGGTCGAAGAATGCATTCAACGTAAAATTCTTACAGACAGAGAAAAGTATATAGCATTGCTAATTGCTACTCGTGACAACAACGAAACGTTGGTTCGAAAGCTTTTGCAAGCAAATGCAGAAGTAAATGAAGACACATTGCAAATCGCAGTTGTAAACGAACACATTGCAATACTGAAAAGTCTTTTGCCAAAGTCAAATTGTAGCCGTAGTCACATACAGAAAGGAAATTCCCCATTGATAACTGCCACAAAGAGAGGCTTGTTTAAAATCGTTCGTTGCTTGCTTCAAAATGGCGTTGACATAAATCATAGAAATGTACAAGGACAGTCTGCCCTGGATAAAGCAATTGTGTGTAATGAATTTAACATATGTGCAGCCCTCATTCAGAAGGGTTGTCAACTTGACGTTAAAGCAGGGAAATTTGATCGAACACCTCTTCATGCAGCTGTTGATATGGGTAATATTGAAATAGTTGAATTGCTTTTAAATAATAGAGCATCCATAGATACAACCGATCACCGTGGAGAAAATCCTATACACACAGCAGCTTTGCGTGGTAATATGAAGATTTTGAGGCTTCTGCTGAATGAGGACAAAAGTCTTGCTATGAACCGTTTCAAATTTCAAAGACAGATCACAACGCTGTACCATTACGCTGTTAACAAAGAAAACAAAGACCTGCTGCAGATTCTAATAGAACATGATATAGATTTGAATATGCAAGATCAATTTGGAAGGACGCCTTTGTACTTTGCCGTGTACTATAGCAAACCAGAGTTTGTAGAACTGATGCTTGAAAAGGCAGATGTGACACTGGCAGAGAATAATGGATATACACCTTTGCATGCAGCTGTATTTAATCTTAATACAGCGCTCGTCAAAATGTTATGCAAATATTATACGGACATAAGAATGGTAGACCGAAAAGGAAACTCGGTGTTTCATGTGTTAAAGAATGTCAGTAAAGGGCAAATTGGCAATGACACTTGCGTTCGAGTGTCCGAATGCATCAAAATACTTCTTAGAAAAGACAATGACTTTGAAATATATCTTAAAAGAATGCAAAATAAAAAGGGAGAAATTGTCAATTTAATGTTTGCGAGGGGCTTTTACTTTGTATTGTAAAATTTAACAACTTGAGTACGCTAATTTATGAACAATTATTGTTATACCATTTAAATTTTAAGCAACATTTTGAAATGCTATGTCTATTTTCAAGATGTTGTCATTTAAGTGTTTCTTGATACGTACTTAATAACTAAAAGATTTAACTAAAAATGAATTAAAGAAATCATTAATATCAGTTTTTAGTTATTGTCTTTCATTTTAATGTTATCTTTATAAGATTTTAAAAAATCCGATTTATTTAAAAATACCCCGATGTCGAAAATGGCCAGCTTACAAAAGCAGGAGGATTAATCCTTTATTTAAGAAAAACTCATTTTTCATTAAAGATATGCTGAATGAAATACTATGAGAAGTTTTTAATAGTTTGTTTAAAAGACGGGAGATGTTAAAGATTCACTTGTTTCGTCGATTGTACATTACATTTTCCTAACTACATGTATAGCATCGGGAACATAAACGCTGCTTCAGCCATTACCCATAGAAATTATTACTGTATTTCATGGTACAGTTGTAAACAATGGAAATAATAAATTACTTTATATGATCTGCCTTAAAAGAGTCACTCTCAAAAAGTCATATTATAAATTTCACTTTGTTCTGTTGGTTTTTAAGTCTCACCAACAGAGCTTCGCTTAAGGTCCCAGCTTTACTGGCAACGGAAGGCCCCATGTGAATTATTTCAGACACGCGCGGGGATCTAAATAGAGTTACCGATCTTCTGTAGGCTACCTGGAAAGCTTCCTCACATGAAATAATAAAAGTCCTTGGCTAGCTTCGAAATCGCAGCGGTGATGGGCAAGTGATTTAAAAAGAACTACCTTAACAACTCGGCCAGGAAGGTCCCCAAATATACTTAATATCTTTTAAAGGACAGAATATTTTTCAAAAAGTACGCAGTCATTTATACATTGCAGTATTTGATATGAAAGTGATGGAATGGCTTAAAGAGATTTCTATTAATATAGCCCCAAAATAAAAGGAAAAGATTCACAAGGGAGAGCAACGGGAACGGAACTAGGCCCCGCAGTATTATAAAGCAACGAACCCTAAAGATACATCAAACGGGAAGGGACCAAGTTTTCTTTTGAATTCGATAATATATTGTTCATATTACAAGTTAAAAGAACACGTACAGTGTGATGTTGTTGGGAGTTATTTCAATTAAGAAGACTTCGCAAAATAGTTATATAACACAAACACGTGTATACACTACAACTCTTAAAAACCCTTGCATCTAGACGCTGGCTAGACATGTTAATGAGCATGCGCAATATGTATATATTTATAAACAAGCTACTATAAATTGATATAACTACAAACATGACCAAGGTTTGCCTTTGCATTGAAATAAGAAACATTAAAGAAGTCAGTGTCCTGAAAATTACGTACAAAGGTAATTATAAACCTTGGTAAAACGTACCGGTATAAAACATAATAATTTTCAAACGCGTGAAAATGAGATTATTATGCAAAATAGTACATAGTACATTACCAATATTAATGAAATAGCATGCAAATGACAAATGCAAATTCTTTTAATCATCCGAACTTTACTAAAAATAACCTAATTGATAACAATACATTGTACCAATACTTCAGAGAAAGTGATCTGGAACATCCGACCGATGCCCGGGAGATTAAACAAATGAGAAATGATGATACTAGCATCCAGACTACATTTAAGTATTACACAGAGGCTGTTAATTAATTAAATTGATAAAACAAGCAAGCGCATATTAAAGGGAGACACATGCAAAATTTTCATTTCTTAGTTTTTAATTTTTCATTCATTATTCAGTAAATGCCCTTAAAATGAATATATTGGATAGCCAAAGGAACAAATATAAAGAACAAAATGGTGGTTTCCTAACTTGACCCGCGTGTGTTAGGTTAGAAAGCTAGCATTTCACAATACTCTGGAAACGTTAAACAACCTGTCAAATGAATGACTTAGGCTTGTTTCAATCATACAATATCCACTATATCTGTTATTATAACTTCAAGGGTTTGTTTTATGTCATCTGACTTGTTTTAAAACTATTTGGTGATTCTATTGGTGTCTAAATTTTGTTCAACATACTAGTATATAGATATATTTACGCTTCAAACCCAAAATAAATAGAATTTAAACAGAAATTCATGCTGAAATTTTAAGAAAAGTCATTTTAGCGTGATTTGAGTACATAAGATCATTTTAATATTTTTGTCATTATTTTGCCTGAATATCCCTTTAAAACAACAACATGGAATACACAATGGTAAAGAGAAGAAAAGATTCAAAAAAATATTTAAAAAAGAAGGCATACGCAATTTTATAAGGGGAAAATAGTGATGGGTAAAAAACATAAACTACTAGGATCAACTGTCGAAGAAAACAAAGAAAAATAAGCATATTTAAGGCACACATTATGTCTCAGGCACAAATGATTATTTTTCCATTCTTTAGAATAGGGAAACATGAGATTATAACGTTGAAATGGTGGTTTTACAGCAATTTAGAACTTTATAATGTGGAAAAGCAGCTGTGATTATGAAATTATTTGTCATTAAAACATGGCAATAATTTTACTTTTCCCTTACTGCCAAACATCATAAGAAGCAAAATATAGTTCAGATATAGGCCAGTGAGTAGGTTTTTGATGACTATTAAAGGACACCAAACATAAAAGCTTTTGCGAACAAACATAAAAGCATTTCTTGGGCATAATGAAACTAACAGCTAGATTAAATACACATAGCACATTTACAGCTTGGATCAGTTTATCACACTCTGTGAAGTTTTCAACTTTTGCGGATGCCATTTTATAGTGCTGCAAATTTCATGAGCCTAGGAACACCTTACTGGTCTCCGATCATAAACAGAGGGTTTTATATACCAAAATGTTTGGCTGGATCTCTACAATACAAAATGGGATTTCATATTTTCCGAAAGTGCTGGCGGACTTAGAAATCCAAGATGGCGTCCAAGATGGCCGCCAAAAATATGAAAATTATCATGTGCAATCTTTTACGTTATTTTCGACAGAAAAAACAACTGGATATATTTCTTTTTACCATTCATATATCAGATTTGTTTCAAAAATGCAATTTAACTATATTTTTTTAGTGTAAATTTTTTTTATTGTCAGAGACAGAAAATTTTGACAAAAAATGTTAAAAAATTGTTATTTTTTTAAAGATGTCCTATACACTTTTATATTCTTTTCTCTGTAATTCCATATTGATTGGGTTTCTTTCAAATTTATCTTATACAAACAACCTTTTTTACACATAACATATGCCATTCACTGTTCTCATTTAATTATTTTCAGATTACTGTGCATTCTAAGTGGGTGGGGTAAAATGATGAATTTAATCAAATTTCTAAATACGATAATACACTTTATTTTTGCTTCTTTATAGACTGATATTTATTACGTATCACTTTTTATCAGTGCTGTATAGACAATATCTTAATTGTAAAATATGAGGATAAGCAAGAAGCGTTGTAAGGTCACATGCAACTGTTAGAAATTTTGAATTGGTCCTTTCAGATGCTTCCTTGTAACATTTTTGTCATATAACCAGCACACTGCCTTGTAAAGAAGAGGCTCCACAAACTCCTTTTGATTTGATAATTGTTTTTCTTCTTGGGAGTAGAAATGGTCTTCCAATTTTGAATTATTCTCTATAATTCGCCTTCTCAATATACCTATTGCCTTATGTACTACACTTTCTTCAGTGTCATTCTCTGTTTCTGGTAATTCATCATATCAACACTCTTGGTCATGTTGCAAAACCTGCTCCAATTTCTTTGATTCTCTTATTGCATCATTTATGGTCAAACTAGATGAACATACAAGATCAGGTTTTCCATGCTGGTGAATAAAGGAAATTTCAGGCCATATTTTTTCGAACAACTTTTTTAAATTATAACTTTTATAAGATTTTGCATCTGTGCAACCATCAGCTTCGGCAATTTCATTGAAACGATTTTTAATGTAGACAAATAATATACTTTTTTATCAACCATTATCAAATCCTGAAATTCATGCTTAACTTTCATTGCTATTTTAGAGTATGAAATTGTTTCATCATTTGAGTTGTTCTTATTTTGTGTGCAAGCAGCAAAAGCATAAGTATTTTGTGCATAATATTTAGTCAGGCAACCCTTTTTTCTATGATAACGAGCCTCAATGGCAGCAAGATCACCATTTGGTACACTGGTCAGTCTGTCAATAATAGCTACATCATTGATTGCAATGGCAACATCTAAAACTTTTTGATATATGGATTTAGAGTCTGAAGATATTGCACTTTCCACAAATGACCAACTTCTACTAAAGCTTCTTGATGTATTGTCTCTTAGGGTTGCAATTTTCGCCACAAATAAAGCACAGAGATTTCCAGTCAAAGTTTACACTAGTGGACCTAGTCTTTAAGGGTGCTCTGTCATTCATCAAGTATCCATAACATGATCAAAGTAATCACAACCTTATTTACATTAATACTTATTGCATGATTATTAACTTACAATTTCAAAGACATCAATGTATTTAACCATGATCCTTTGTTTAAATGAAAACAGAATCATTTGTTACATGCATGTGGTTATATTAGTATTCCACACTATTGGTTGAAAAAGTCACACAAAGTATCTCAATAATTTACTAGTCTTTGGGAACTGTAATACAAATACAAACTGTTTACAAATATAGAATGATTTTACAAATTAACTTATTAAAATGGCAATGAAATATTACATAAAGAACACGTCAATTCTTACATCGTTGTTTATTTTTTCTGTAATTTTCAAAATTGACAACTCTCATTTATGATGCTATCCACATAAAGGTGAACATATTGGTGTCAGTACCTACAAAAACATAGAATACTGGGCTGCGTTTCATGGAGAGTCGTAAGTTAATCCTAAATCCTAGGACTTATGACCAACTTTAGGAGAAAAAGTTTTTGCACTTAAGATCGTTTCAAGTAACTGTCCTATCTTAAGACTTATGACCAATTCACTCTCCTGAAAAAAGTTACAAAAAACAATGGCACGCGCTTAATCCCGGATTGGATTTACTATGTAATTGATTATAGCAAGTATAAAAAGTAATGTATAGCCCTCTTATAATCTTGAGTGAAAATATATACCATATTTCACGAAAAATGATAAAATAACTGTTTTATTTC